TTCCTGCTTAGCGTCCCTATACTTGTAGTGCCACCTGCAGTAGCATGCATACTCCTTGCTCTGTTATGCCTCAGGCCTTTGTACATGCTGTTTTCTTTTTTTTTTGGCAGATGTCATTTATCTTTTAAACATCTTTATTGGAGTATAATTGCTTTACAATGGTGTGTTAGTTTCTGCTGTATAACAAAGTGAATCAGCTATACATATACATATATCCCCATATCTCCTCCCTCTTGAGTCCCTATCCCACCCCTCTAGGTGGTCACAAAGCACTGAGCTGATCTCCCTGTGCTATGCGGCTGCTTCCCACTAGCTATTTATTTTACATTTGGTAGTATATATAAGTCCATGCCACTCTCTCACTTCATCCCAGCTTACCCTTCCCCCTCCCCATTTCCTCAAGTCCATTCTCTACGTCTGCATCTTTATTCCTGTCCTGCCCCTATGTTCTTCAGAACCTTTTTTTTTTTTTTTTTTAGATTCCGTATATGTGTGTTACCATACGGTATTTGTTTTCCTCTTTCTGACTTACTTCACTCTGTATGACAGGTTCTAGGTCCATCCACCTTACTACAAATAACTCAATTTTGTTTCTTTTTGTGGCTGAGTAATATTCCATTGTATATATGTGCCACAACTTCTTTATCCATTCCTCTGTCCATGAACACTTAGGTTGCTTCCATGTCCTGGCTAAGAACAGTGGGTAGACAGCTACTTCTGTCCTCCCTACATCTTGTAAAAAAGTTAATTACCCCCAAATCCTGCATGAAGTAGCAGACAGCCTTTATTTTCAGAAAGGAAGGAGCTAAAAATATAGTAGTGCTTCCATTTATTAACCTCAGGTAACATTATCCGAAGGTAGCAGAGTCATGGGATTTGCCATCAGAAGACTTAGGTTTACATCTGTTCTTTTATCAGCTTTTTAATCTCCTTAGACTAAATACTCATTTAGTTAAAATGGGGCTAATAACACCAGCCTTATTGCATTAAAGGGTGTTGTGATGGTCAGTGAGATACTATCCAGAAGCACTTTATAAATTATAAGTCATTATACAACACAGGTCCTCACATCCTTGTGTAGTAGCAAATAAGAGAAATCCTTCCCATGCAGGAAAGAGTATAACATAGCTGTTAGGATCATGGCTTAGCAGTTGCACTGACTTGGGTTACAGTGAAAGAAATGCCACCATTTAGCTTTGTCAGTTGGCTCATGAGCTCAGTCTCTCTAGGTATCAGTTTTCTCATCTTTAAAAAGGAGAATAATATGTATCATGAGTTTTTATAAGGATTACATGAGATATTGTATGTGGAATGCATAAGTTATTGTTAAGTTCCCTTGAATTAGTTTTCTTTAAAATAAACTTTTTATTTATATTAATAATTTTAGATTTCCAGAAAGGTTGTCTAAATGATAACACAATGATAGCACAGAAATTTCCCATCTACTTTTCTTCTGATTTCCTTCATTGTTAATGTCTTACATTAGCCACAATGAACAAACATTGATGCATTTACTATTAACTAAACTCTGGGCTTTTTTTGGAATTCATCAGTTTTCCCATTAATGTCTTTTTTCTGTTCCAGGATCTGATCCAGGGTTCTATGCTTCATTTAGTTATCATGTCTCCCCAATTTCCTCTGGTCTGTGACAGTTTATCAGGCAGTCTCCTTGTTTTTTGTGACGTTAACAGTCTTGAGGGATACAGTCCAGGTATCATGTAGGATTTTCCCCAGTCTGGTTTTGTTTGTTGTTTTTCTCATGATTAGACTGAGACTGTGGGCTTTTGGAGAGAATTCCAGACAGATGAAGTACTCGTATTGTCACAACATATCAAGGAGCACCCGCTATCCATGTGACATCACTGATGATGTTAACATTCATCTCTTGGTTAAAAGAGTACTTGCCAGGGTTTTTCACTGTATATTGAGCTAGTTTTAACCAGTTGTCACTTATATGGGACTTTCTCTTTCCTCTCCTCCCACTGTTTGAAATGCTTTTCATTTATATTTATTGCAAATGTCATCTCTGAGGAAATATCTTCTCTGACCACCCAAGCTAAAGAGCTTCTCTTCTCAAGTCCGTCAGTGTTGTGTTTTCTCGATAGCATTTTTCATTACCTGAAATTGTCTGGTGTATTTGTTTTACCTAGTTTATCCGTTTGTCTTTAGGCCCCCTCCCCCTCAAACAAGAACATAAGCTTCAGGAGAACAAGGTCCTTGCAGGATTGTTCACTTCTGTGCACTTGACATCTAAGCACAAGGGCTAGCATATACTAAATGTTCAATAACTATTTGTTTGAATAAATGTCCAAGAAAGAAAAATCCAGGATTAACTTATTAGCAAGTATTTCTGAAAATGAGTGGAAGATAGCTGAATGGTGGGAAGTTTAATTTAGTATTCTTGACTTAAGTGGTTTAGTTTTAACAAAAAGGTTAAATGCAATCATCACCATCTATGCAAATAAGTAATCAGCATCCTTGTAATTCAAGCTGTCTTATAATTCACTTCATAATGTGAAAGCCAAAGTATTTTTCTGACTTATAAGTATATGACTGACAAATGTAAGAGTTACTCAGTTATCACACATCTGTACCATTGTGAACTTTATTTGCTATGGCTTAGCTTTCCTATTACAGAAATTTTAACAGAATCAGGAGTATAGAAATAATTTATGCCCTTTATTTTAACTTATCGTTATGAATTCCTAGTGTCTATTATCTTTTCATTTATATTGGCAGAAAAATGGAGTTTCTTGGCATAAATCTTTCTTCCATAACCTCTCTTTTTATTTCTTTCCTCAGGACCTAAAATCTCCAAATCAGAGGGATGAAATTGCAGGTGCCCGGGCCTCATTGAAGGAGAACTCCCCCATATTGCATTCAATTTGTTCAGCTTGTTTGGAACATTCTGATGTTGCTTCCCTCAAAGCCAGCAAGGACACAGTTTGTGAAGAAATTCAGAATGCCCTCAATGTAATTTCAAATGCTTCACAAGGCATCCAGAATGTGTTAGTCCCACCAGAACCTCAGGCAGCCACCCTGGGAAGTGCCCTTGATGAGCTTGAGGTAAGTTGAGAGAAAATTAAAATGTGATTTGATGTACCAATATGAAAATTAATAGATGTGTGTTCTCAGATCCTTGGGTTGGAGTTCAGAGTATGAGTAAATAAAAATCCAGTGACCTAATCAGTCTCTATAATTGTCTGTGTTTTCCAAAGAATTGAATAGCAGGACAATATTCCATCAGTAGACTTCTGATTCCTTTACATGGCTGCCAAGGAAGCCAATGCATTTAAATTGGGATTGTTAATTACATTGAAATGATGACTTTATTTTACATAGATCAATTTATGAAATGTAGGATTTATTCATTCCACAAATACTTATTATTGGCACTGTTCTTTATGCTTAGGATACAGTTGAGTGCTGCTCTCTTGAACTCCTCACATTTTAGTTTGGACTAGGGTGGCTAGTGAATATTAAGGCAAAATTTTGTAAGTAGAGCCAACTGGATTTGACAGAATGGCTGTGGGGTGTAAGTGAAAGGGAAGAGTCATGGCTGGTGTTGCAGGTTAGCTCCTCTAGAAGCACACACTGGACAGAATTTGGGATACAAGGTGTTATTAGGAATCAGCATGTGTGAAGGGAGAGGAAGGGAGCAGGACTGAGCAGAGGAAGAAGTCTACCTGTGAGCCAGATCCACAAAGCCACCAATGAGCAGAGAGCTCTGGAGAGAGTGGTAACCTCAAGAAATAGCCAGGCCCAGGCCTCTTTCAATCACTGGAAGCAGGTCACCCTACCCTGGGAAGGGTCTTACCTGCAGGTAGCGGGGCTAGGGATAAGCCCTCTGCAGCTGCTGCAGACCCTGAAGGAACTGACAGCTGGGGAGCCATCTGCTGGCCTTACCCTCCACAGGTAGGCAACAAGTCCTACCTGGAAGGGGGATGTGGGCAGTAAACCTCTGTGTCTACCACAGATAATTACAAGGTTTGTTGTTGTTGTTGTTGTTGTTTTTGTTTTTTGGCTTGAGCAACTGGAGGGATTAATTTTTTATCAACTATGATAGGGAAGGCTGTGGGTGAAGCCATTTTTGAGGGGAATATCAGCAACTCAATTTTCCACATGTTGAGTTGAGAGATTTGTTAGACATTCCAGTATGATGTCAAAGATCATTGGTTATCCAAGTCAGATAAGTACTTGCTTAGTGGAAGACAACATGGTGTAATGCTTAAAGATAAGGGATCAGGAGCCCAGATGCCTGAGTTCCTATCCCAGGTCTGGCGGATACTGCCCGTGTGACCTTAAGCAAGCTATTTTATTAAACTCTCAGTTTTCTCACCTATAAATTGAGGATAATAATAGGACGTATATCTTAGTGTTGTCTGTGTCAGTGAATTAATAATACATGTAAAAATGCTCATAGCAATGACTGGCACATAGTAAGTGGTCAATAAATCTTAGCTTTCATTATTAGTTGTGGAGGTGACTGTTTGGCAGAAGATTTTTCCATAATCAAGAAATCAACACAATTAAAATTACTAAAGTTTTACTGATAACTTAAAAAAATAAACACATGACCTATAATTCCTATATGTTCTTAACATTATTACTGTCACAATAAACTTATTAGATATCTAATTCATTTAAGTTTACAATAGCCTTTCCATATGCTTTTCCTTTAGTTACATGTCTTAAACAGGTTTCTTCATTTCTAACCTAACATTATTAAATTCCTAATCTTTGGCATCAATGAAAAAATCTGTTAACTTCCTAATTATTAGCATTTATGTGAAAATTTTAGGACCTATTTGTCTGAATAAGGTAGAAAATTAGTGGGGATTCTTTAATAATACCCCATCATGTAAATGTTTGCCCTGTGTAATGAGTGTTCTGTCTTCACAATAAGATTGAAAGCACACTGTGGGCAAGATTATGTTTCTAACTAATTTTATACCAGTGATACTAGCAGAACATTAGGTCCCCCATACATTAATATGTAACATTTCTTGATAGCTAAACATTTAACATAAATTTATCACTTAATTGTTACAGTGTCCATATAAGATATGGTTTTTTCTTGTTTGTTTGTTTTACAGAAAATAAAACTGAGACTTATGTATGTTTTTTAACTTGCTCAAGTTGGAAGGCTAGTGAGTGGTAGTAACCAGGATGTGAATCTAGTATGTCTGACTCTAGAAGATATTTCCAACTTCTGTATTATACTGAATTCTCACAGGTAGAGCTTAATGTGGTTAATCAAAATTCAACAAAACTTGTTCTACGATTCTTAGTTTATTGGAACTACCAGAGAAATTATATATGTAACCCAGTCCAAAAGATGGCATAACTTTTTAGAGAAAAATTATTTTTTGGGTACCTGGGTTATTTAAGTAGAAGTAGTCTGTGTATGAGGAGTGACTAGTATTGTGAGGTGAAATTTGCAAGAGTGGACACATGGGATTGTGTAGCACATTTTTCATAGTACTAAGCAGAATTGTATCAGGTGATGCTTGCATAAGAGGTCCAGTTTATCCCAGACACCTTTTTCTATATTCTTAGGATTATAGAAGAAGATAGAAGATTTTGAAGTTGTCTTCCTTCAGGGACTTCTCTTTTCTCACTTTAGTTGAAAGTGGCTGCTGCAGACAAGAAATGGCAGTGGTTGGAGAGGAGGAGAAAATGTGTGTGTGTGTGTGTGTGTGTGTGTGTGTGTGCGCGTGTGTGTATGGGTGTAGTTTTTTTTTTTTTTTTTTTTTTTTTGCGGTACGCAGGCCTCTCACTGTTGTGGCCTCTCCCGTTGCGGAGCACAGGCTCCGGACGCGCAGGCTCAGCGGCCATGGCTCACAGGCCCAGCCGCTCTGCGGCATGTGGGATCTTCCCAGACCGGGGCACGAACCCGTGTTCCCTGCATCAGCAGGCGGACTCTCAACCACTGCGCCACCAGGGAAGCCCCTGTAGTTTTGATGGGAGTGGGCATAGGCATAGTGATAGAGTCTTCCCTTTTGTAAGATAAGTTGCTGACTCCCTTCTTATCAAGGCAGGAGGGAGTTTCAAAGATATTATCCAGAAATCCCAATACTGTCTCAACAACCTTTGAAATTCAGTTCCAGTCAAAGTTAGGGATAGAAAGCTGGTACAAAATGCCTGAATTTTATATAAATTTTTATATCCAAGTTACAATAGCTCTGAGGTTGTCTGAACTATATAAAGCAGAATTTATTGAGCATTTAGCCTTTTTAAATGATTTTGTAAATGAAATGGTTGCACTTTTCTTAACTTACAGGAAGCTTATTGGTAAAGGATCCAAAATAACCTTTGCTCTATCTTGCTTCTGCAAATATAATTCTATGAAATAAATTAATGTAGTAAATACTCTGTTGGGAGTAAGTCTCATTAAATGTTATAGTGTAGAAATGTATCTGAGCACTTACTCAATCAACAACTACCAAGCTGAAGCGTCATTAAATCTTTCATTCTGGTCCATATCTGGTTGTTGAAATGAAACCTGAGATTTATTGTTGGAGAAAATAGAAGTTGAATTAGAACACCGTATGGGCTAAATCAGTTTCTGTATTGGAAAAGCTAATGTGAATTTTAGAGTGTTCTTTCGCATTTGTGACTGAATGAGAGTTGAGAAGTGTCCCAACTATGGATTAACAGAATTATGAAAACATCTTTAAGTGAGAAACTTTGCCAGTGAAAATTGCTTTGAAACTCCAAGTCTACTAAGGTATATTTGCTCTTGTTTGGAAGGAAAACACAGCTTTTATAATCATAGTCCACAGAATTATCCAGATCCTCTTGTGATAATGATGATAATAACATTTTGTAGTATTTTGTCATTTTCAAAGAGCTGTCATGTTTATTTTCTTATCTTCTTTTTATATATTCATTTATGGTCATCATTCATATATTCCTTTATTCAGTGTTGTATCCCCAACACCTAGAACAATGCTCTATACATAGTAAATGCTAGGTAAATATCGATGAATGAATGAAGGAAGGAAAGAATGAATATAGGAAAGGTGCCTATCGTTTTGCAATAATGGAGTGAAGAACATTTTCCCTTTACCCCTGTTTTTTCTCCTTTCTCCAACTTGTAGTGTACGCACTGGGGGTTTGTATTCTACTTTATCTAACTTTTAACTGGGATGCAAATTTAAAGTGAGGGAAACCACAGGGAAAACATCTGAGTGATATGCTGCTCAGATACCTTTCTGTGATAAGGGAGCACAAAGAGGAAAAAGAAAATTCTTTTCTCAGTGGCTATCTAGCCTTAGTTTAGGTTCCCTGTAACTGCCAAGCTATGCTGCCTTTTACTAAGAGTAATAGTTTTGAGGTATGCAGTCCTTATATTCTTCTGTTTTCACCTGAAGGAGAAAACAGGACCTCTATTAATCAAATTAGCATTTAGGAGGTAAAGGAAAATAGGCATCAGTGATATCTAGAAGCAATTTAATATGAAAAAATGGTTTGGGTTTTAGAAATATAGTGAACTAGAAAAACTATAAATTATGGATAAAACATTTTTAACTACATAGATAATCTGATAGGTGAATTAGGGAAATTTGTTGGGCCTAGCCAGGTACAAAGAGCACAAAATCCAAACTAGCATGCCAGCACTAGCATTGTGCTAGGTGATATGGGGAATTTGTTTTTCATTATTGCCTGTAGCTTGGATTTTGGAACAACATGAACTGAGGACAAAAGACAAAGCTTGTCAGCTGGAAAGTCACATGAGACCCTTACATGAATCTGAGAATCCTTTTATTTGACCACCTCATTGGATAAACAAGAAAAACACTAGCCTCTACAGCAGGAGATAGTAGGAAAACTTGGCTGGCTTAAATTGGCCATGGGTAGGCTAGAAAAATATACAAAACATCTTGGAAAATTTCTAACTGTAAGTCTGTTCTTATCTGGACTTTGGGTCAAAAGTCATATTATCTGTGTAGCCTCTAAGACTTTAACTGAAAATTTAAAATTGTCCTGTCTTGGCAATATCTCCAAGTAACTGCCAGAAGTAAACTCAAATTCTGTCTGCACCATACACTAAGTCCACAAAA